GATGCTTCAGCTTTCTCCTTGAAGAAACCAACAAGTCTTTCCAACTTAGAGGCTTGGCACTTCTTGTAACTGAAAATTATTTTATTAGGATAATTTGAAGTGGTTAGAAATTTTAAATCACTCTTGTTTAAGAAGGGCAAATGATGTTCTTGCTTCAGGATCTGTCTCAAAACAACGCATCATAATAGCTGCATCCTCTTCTGGCATGTCTGGTGGTGGTTTCAACCGCAATCCTTGAATGACTTTCTTTCGCACGTCTTTCAAAGTCTAGAACTTTCGATGTGGCTCTATAACACTTTCATTGTATACATTTGCTGTACCTTAACCTCCTTGTATGGTATTGCTCCATCGGAAAACACTTCAAACATCAATACACCGTAACTCCACACATCTGATTTACTTGAGTATGTGGCATGAGTTAATGTCTCAGGTGCCAGAAACCTAAATAACAAGATTCTACTGTGAATGGTCAATCAAAGCATTCCAATTTACGGACCTCACTGGAACTTTGATCATTTGTTTCTCCTTATGTAGCTGACCCAGCATTGATAGTCCAAAGTCACTAATTTTACAAACATCAGATCCGCTAATCAAACAGTTTCTTGCTGCCACATCTCGGTGTATAACCTGAAAATGGTTTCAGGATAAAATTCATTTTCTACGGGTAGACACATAGGACAGGGGAACACTAGAATGGCCGACCTGTTGTGACTCAAGGTACTCCATGCCGCACATGGCATGGTAACAATACTTTCGTTTATGAGCAAGATCCAATTTTGTTTTTCTAACTCTTCCAAGTAGCGATCCACCTCAAGTAAATGGTTTATTCTAAAGAATGTCTGGAAATGGAGTCATTCATTGTGACACTCCGCTCATGCAGCCCTTAGCGGTCCTTATGTGCCAGCGCGGTGCGACAGCCGTGCCGAGAATTACGTGGACGCGCCCCGTATTGATTGACCATTTATTGATTGGTCAATAATCCAGCGCATGGCTGGCACTATACTTTGGGAAATTCGAAATTTTTTTTGAATATTCGAA